AAATAAAACAAATTATTCCTCTCGATCGATCGTAAATGATTTCAGTTACCCAGGCTCAAGTGAAAGGTTACCAGTTAGTCATGCGACAAAATAATAAAATCAACATTTGTTATATATTACATACTGAAGAGCATTTTCGGTTTTGTTTTGGATAATGGCAACTTTGCTTTGGTCAAATGTTAAAGTGTCCTAAAATGTCACACAAAATGAAATAGTTGGCATGTTTGTGCCTGACTAAATCAAAACCATAACTCATAATTTCTTCAAAACATTGAAAATTTCGCACAGATCAAGCTTCAAAGATATCACAGGAATTTATGCCATTTGAATATCTGCACATAAAAAATAAAAAAGGTAGCCAGATTTGTCACACCAAGACACATCAGATATCTAGCCGGTCACAGTTCAAAATGTTAAATAAATTATCTCAGCAACACTTGGATGAAATCATAAGTAAACTGCAGTAAGAGGTAAAGGATAAATGACAGCACTTCAGTTTGGATTCTGCTCTAATTGAAGTTGAACTTCTTCTGGCAACAGGCGTCTCTTAAACTCTGGAGTAACCACTAAGTATCCAATAAAAATAGCGAATAAGATTAGGCAGTAACCTAGTAGATTGCCTATAACAGCAGTTGATGGAAGGCTACCGTATCCTCCAGGCCTGTAAGGAGAAAAAACAAAAAAACAAATAAGAATATAGTCCTGAATTTTGCGTATTATGCTAAATACTGCTATCTAAATTTAATTGGATTGAATGAAGAGCAAAATAGCACAGAAGTTAGTATAGTATCAAGTATAAACTGCTCTGATGAAGGTTAGGAAACCATTTAGTGTTATAATCAATTCAATCCATCTATGTTAAATAATGAAAAGTTCAATTAGTGTTCTAATCAATTAAATCCATCTATGTTAAATAATGAAAAGATCAATTATGCTACCATGGGTGTATCCGCACGGATTTGTAGCGCCACCTAGTATAACTTGTATAACTAAGAGAGAGAGAGTGTGTGTGGAAGGAGAGCTGTAACGAGCTACAAAAAAGCTCTCTTCCAAATAATAATAAATAAATATTGTGAATTTACAGTCCGCTTATTTTCTGTTTNGTCCGCTTATTTTCTGTTTATTGAGCGAGTTCATATTTACCTGAGCGTCGACATGAGTGGTCCGTCGAGCCGGAGGAAAAATCAGCAAAATTAAAATAATTAACGAAAAGAGTTTCGTTTCTTGTTCCAAGAGATAACCACTGTGACATTGTTTCGAGAAAACTGTGGATTCGTGCTTTCCCATTCGAAGTAGGATTGTTTTGATTTTTTTAATAAAATACTTTAATTTACAAT